TGTGAAGTTTTTTTTGACAAAATATTTGTATACTTAAATGAAATAATTTGTTTCTTTCATTTTCTTACAGCAATGATTGATAGTGTAGGTGGGCCGGTGAGGGTCATTAATTTGTTGTCAACACTAAATATACCAACAATTGGAAATAAAAACATGAAAAGAAATGGAGAGACGTGTTGGAAATATCATTGAGACAGTGGCTTCTATGTCGACAGAATCTGCTGCAAAAGATCAAGGAAATGGAGTAAGGACACATTTACATTTACAATGATATTTTCGAAATAACATGTAATTGAATTGGAAGAATATCAAAGTTATTTTGTAATTATATGTCTATGCAGCTTATCATGGTATAATCCTATATTGCTGGCACTCGCGTGGTTTAGGGAAACCAAAAAATATTATACAATCCATATTGAGAAAAGAATTTTAAACAATGGCTTTGTTGTTTTGCATGTTACTCTATATTCATGTACATATTTCTTTTTTCAAAATAACTTGAATGTGTAATTGTTTTTTAAAAAAAGTATTTATATTCTACATGACAAACTGGGTCCGCCTGGGCTCCTTGCCATTGGTACTTGTTGCTGGGTCATATGGGGTTCACGCGTTTTTTGAACGCCACCTTTCCTTGTGATTTGACTTGTTTATCATATTTTACCTTCATTGGTTTAAGACTAAAATTCATATTAAATACATGCATTTTTTTAAGGGATGTGCATCATGAAGAATCATGGTATCAGAACACAACATCATGGAGAGATCTTATTGACAAGATCTTGGAGGATGTCCTTTGCCAGATGCCGTTGCAAGCACTAAAGTGAGTACTGGTAGTTTTGTTTTCTGTATTTTGTTTATTTACGAAAGTAAAAGGACTATGCAAAACTGACTGGTGTTGTTGAACTGTTTGTGTTATGTCAGTTGCTTCAATATATGAATATCTCTCCATATACTGTTTGTACATATGTATTTTTTTTATTCAAGGTCTATTCTTCAGTCAGATGTTACAGTTACAAATGACAGTGAATGGTCAGATTTAATAACAATTGTGATGAACAATCCTCAACAATACATGAAACAAAAATGCCTATTAAACTGTAATTAAGTTGAAAATCTATGAGGTTTTTTTATATATATTTATAATCAATGGTGTAGCAAATTAAATGATAATACTGTGATAATTTTGTAATGCTATTTGGGGTCGTCTTCAATAGAAACAATTTGATGTATCTTCATGTGATGAATAATCGATATGCAGTCTGAATTATTTCATAAAAGTGATTACTAAAATTGGTCAGGAAAAAGTCGTGCAATTAGCATTAATAATTAACAAAACTTTTCTAGTATGAACATTGTGTTACATTAATTATAAATAAGTTATTGTCAATTCATTGGTGTTCAATCTTCAATATTTGTCAATATTACGTTTAAAGATGAATCTTAAAATACAGAAAATATGGGAGCATATAGCGTGGCACTTGTCAGTCCGTCCCAAAATCTTGTGAACGCAACTCCTCTTAAACCGGATGGCAAATTTTGCTTAAACTTACAGGGATGAACAACCTTAATGTGTAGATGGTAGTTAAGGAAGGAATTTTCGCTGCGACCAAATTTAAGAGAATTATGGCCCTTTGTTGATTTTTTTACTATATACTATGTAGAAATTTTGTGAAAGCAACTCCTCTTAAACCGGATGGCAGATTTTGCTTAAACTTCCAGAGATGAACAACCTTAATGTGTAGATGGTAGTAAAGGAAAGAATATTTGCTGCAACCAAATTTAAGAGAATAATGGCCCTTTGTTGATTTTTTCACTATATACTATGTGGAAATTTTGTGAACGCAACTCCTCTTTAACCCGATGGCAGATTTTGCTTAAACTTCCAGGGATTAACAAACTTAATGTGTAGATGGTAGTAAAGGAAGGAATTTTTGCTGCAACCAAATTTAACAGAATAATGGCCCTTTGTTGATTTTTAGTTTTCAACTTGTGGCACATGTAGTCCAAAAACTATTTGACCTAGAGTCATAAGATTGACAGAACAGTGGCGTGTGGGGGCATCCGTGTCCTATTGACACATTTCTAGTTTTTCTCAGTTATCATGTCAGTAATGATTTAGAATTTGTCAGAAAAGTATCTGTGTATATTTTAACCACTGTTATTGATGTATGATTGAAAAAGTGAGTTTTGCATACAAGTAAGACTGGTTGGTCAACATTGTTCTTTCAAACAGTGGCATTTAGAAGAAAAATCCTAATGGTTATTTGAATTACCCTGGTTTTAACTTTGAGCTCTGACCTAGCTGTCATGTTCACAGCATGCATCATTTTTGTGTCGCCTCTACGGAGTAGTGGCGACATATAGGGATCATTTCTCCGTCGTCTGTCTGTCTGTCCGTCCGTCACAAAACTTGTCCGGACTACTCCTCATAAACTACTGGTGCAATTTCATCCAAACTTTACAGGAATGACCAGTACCAAGTCTAGTTGTGCATTTTGTCAGCATTTTCCGGTTCAATGATTTTTGTCAGAGTTTTGGCCCTTTAATAATTTTTTTTTTTAAAGTTTGTCTTGACTTCTTCTCTTATACCACTAATGCAATTTCAATGAAACTTTACAGGATTGATCTGTAGCTTAAGTCCTTGTGCATATTGCACGGGTTTTCCGGTTGAATGATTTTTGGCCGAATTATGGCCCTTTGATAAAAAGGTGTTTTTATGCCCCCACAGAGTGGGAGCATATAGCGTTGCACTTGTCCGTCCGTACGTCCCGAAATCTTGTGAACGCAACTCCTCTTATACCGGATGGCAGATTTTGCTTAAACTTCCAGGGATGAACAACCTTAATGTGTAGATGGTAGTAAAGGAAGGAATTTTCGCTCTGACCAAATATAACAGAATTATGGCCCTTTGTTGATTTTTTCACTTTACACTATATAGAAGTTTTGTGAACGCAACTCCTCTTAAACCGGATGGCAGATTTTGCTTAAACTTCCAGGGATGAACAACCTTAATGTGTAGATGGTAGTAAAGAAAGGAATTTTTGCGGCGACCAAATTTAACAGAATTATGGCCCTTTGTTGATTTTTATGCCCCCACAATGTGGGAGCATATAGCGTTGCACTTGTGCGACCAAATTTAACAGAATTATGGCCCTTTGTTGATTTTTTCACTATATAATATGTAGAAATTTTGTGAATGCAACTCCTTTTAAACCGGATGGCAGATTTTGCTTAAACTTACAGGGATTAACAACCTTAATGTGTAGGTGGTAGTAAAGGAAGGAATTTTTGCTGTGACCAAATTTAACAGAATTATGGCCCTTTGTTGATTTTTTCACTATATACTATGTGGAAATTTTGTGAACGCAACTCCTCTTAAACCGGATGGCAGATTTTGCTTAAACTTCCAGGGATTAACAAATGTGTAGATGGTATTAAAGGAAGGAATTTTTGCTGCGACCAAATTTAACAGAATTATGGCCCTTTGTTGATTTTTAGTTTTCAACTTGTGGCACATGTAGTCTAAAAATTGTTTGACCAAGAGTCATAAGATTGACAGAACAGTGGCGTGTGGGGGCATCCGTGTCCTATGGACACATTTCTAGTTTCACTATATACCATATAGAAATTTTGTGAACGCAACTCCTCTTAAACCGGATGGCAGAATTTGCTTAAACTTCTAGGGATGAGCAACCTTAATGTGTAGATAAATTGCCAAGCTAATTTCATGCAAACTTACGATATTGTCTAGTCAGTTTTTGTTTTGCTTGCAATCGTTATATGACATGACTAAAGACATTTAGTATTATTCTTAAGTTATTATGTTTATGTTTGTATAAGACCCAAATATATTGTTAAGATTCATTTTTACAAATTTGAAAGCCATTATTGTTCTAGTCTGTTTTTGTTATGCTTGCAATCGTTATATTACATGGCTAAAGACATTTAGTTTTAATCTTCAATAGTTATGTCTATATTAAATTAATATCCATGATGACACATGATAGCCTGTTATAAAAAAGACACGTGCTTTGTTCTCTTGATCGAGACATCACGATAATACCGCTAAGGCATCTTTCAGAAAATAAAAAACAGACATTCTGCTTGATATGTTTATGTATTTCGGAATGTTAAAACATTCTTTGTTAGTTTTACTCAAAATGCTTTGTGTCTTAATGACATGCAAGAAATTGTTGTTTCTTCCTGGCAAAGATTTTTTTAGTATGAAAACAATGTGCAGCAATTTATAACTTTACATTATCATGCTTAAATTTTCAGCCTTGTTATATTAAAACAGGACACGCCCGGTGTTTAGTAGATTCCGGCTTCGCCCACATCAAGCGAGTATATAGAGACTAATAGGTTGGTGCCGTGGATGGAGAAAGTTTATCTGGCGAGGCGGAGGAATTTATTGGGTGAGCCGAAGGCGAACCCAATAAATTCCGGAGCAGAGCCAGATAAACTTTCTCCATCCACGGCACCAATCTATTATTCTATTTATCCTGTCACCGTTTTTTAAAGAATTTTATTAAGCAAACTACCTTTAATCTCACTATCGGAAATGTTTCTATATAAACAAAGAAGGCTCTAATTTTTCTACAACAATGTACTCGCCGTTCTTATTATCTCCCTGTGTATTTTCACATTGAGGGCGCCATTTTGTTTGAAAAATGTGATAAATAAAAACAATTTTTTGTCGAATTTTGTTGTGAAAACTATCTAGAATGAAAGAAAATGGTCTAACTAAGAAAATGAATCCGAACACCAATATTTTTAATTCAGTCGTTAACGCTGTACAGACGTTTAAAGTATTGTTTACGTGACGTCACAATGTAGCGCCAAACAGCACGTGCAAAACAATCAAATCAAGTACGCTATTTTAATGTCGCAAACGAGTTAAGTTTTACATTTATTTCACTTTTAATAATTTTTATTTCGCTTGAAAAATTATAGAGTGAAATAAAATAAACAAACAAAGTTTTATCAACGTTTCCAAAACTCGTTATTCTCCACACAGAGGATTTAACGACAGTTTTTATATTTTTCTTGAAAAGTAGTCCGGCAAACATGCATACCACGTGATCAAGTGCCGTAGATCAGTAAAAATATACGGCACCTTGTTATCGGGTCGAAATTGGACCAAGTGACAGGATAAATAGACGAACAGATGTAGAGACGCTTGGACAGCTTGAAAATATTGTAAACAAATCATCAAAAACAAATGTTGCTATCCGTTTTCCACAATGGGCATGGAGAAATTGGAAGTCGTTCTTAGAGGGAAAATTTAAAGCAGTGAAAGGAATAAGGTAGTTAACAGATGCAACACACAGAAACTGCTTTAATAATAATAATAATAATAATAATAATAATAATAATAATAATAATAATAATTAACATCATCATCAATATCATCATAATAATAATATCCTTATAATACTATAATAGAAATAATTATGATAAGAATACAGAAGTTCTCGTAACTGAAATAAAAAAATATGATTTTTAATCAGTATAACTTTCATAATAAAACTTATATTGTGAGCTTAGCAGAAATGAGATGATGAGTTTTAATTTCAGGAAATATCAGTACTTCCGGTTTACTGCAGACGAACCAGGTATTGTTACCGTGCGAATTTCATCTGATGATCAAAATGAGGAAAAGATTTGTATTTTAAAGCATCAGTCTTCGCGTTTTGAAGCGGCTGTAAGACCAGAACCAATTCAACCAAGTGGGCTTAGTCAACGGCGGCAAACCTACCTGAACAACTCCGTACGTCCATACGTCAGGCCAGCGTACAGAGACGAGTTTTGCGGTGTACACATTTGAAGCAAATGTTAAAATAGAGAAATAAAAAATATTGATTGATAAAACTTAATTCTTTTTTGTGTCAAGATTCTTATATCCGTTTCATGTTTTAACAGACAGCTCCATTAAATTAACATTTCGAAATATGTTACTCAGAAAAAAATATATTTGGCCATGATAATAACATCATATAAAATGTACCACTACAATAACATTTACTTATTCATTATTTCAAGTTAATAGGGCCTAATATGTTTTTCCCTCGCCAAAAAATAGTATAATCATTTGAACACACCTAATGCAAGAAAAGCGGGAAACGATGACGTGATAAATGTGAAACATTGACGTCAATTCAGCAACGACAACAACAACGTCAAGAAGTTTCAACATGACGTTGTGAAATAAGTCATATTGAAAGAAATATTCTAACACGACCCGCATTTTTCCCTATTGAACAAAGAAGAACCGAAAGTGTGTGTTATTATGCTATAAAATCACTGTTTGACGTTCTATATTTAGACATGTGACGTAATCATTATACACGTGACGTAACCACTAAAAATGTGACGCGCTGACAATAAGTACGGAAACAAATCAGGCGCAATTTAGCTAATTATCATGTACGGCAGCATTTATTTGTTGATGTCGTGTTAGAATCGAAATAATATATCCAAATCGGTGATTTTATTGCTTGATAACATCACTGCTTGTCGTTCGGATGCGCATCATTATATCACTCGGGCTACGCCCTCGTGATATAATTCCCCGCATCCGAACTCCAAACAGTGATGTTATTGAGCAATAAAATCACAGTTTGGGATATATTATTTCTTAAATAATCTCTTTTGCATATGAATTATATCGCCGGAAAGCATATTTCATGAGCTTTAATTTGATGTGAAAATCTCAAAATCGATAAAAATGTCATTAAGACCCCAAATCGCATGACTGTGCCCATTTGTATAAGACCCAAAAATATTGTTAAGATTCATTTTTACAATTTTGAAAGCCATTATTGCTCTAGTCTGTTTTTGTTTTGCTTGCAATCGTTATATGACATGACTAAAGACATTTAGTTTAAATCTTTAGTTATTATGTCTATGAGGGTGTCCGTGGCCGAGTGGTTAAGGTCATTGACTTCAAACCACTTGCCCCTCACCGCTGTGGGTTGGAATCCCGACAGGGACTTTTGATTCTTTCATGTGAGGAAGCTATCCAGCTAGCTTAACTGAACGTCGGTGGTTCTACTCAGATACCCGTTCGTGCCTGAAATAATGCAAGGAAGGGCACCTGAACGTCACGATATGACCTATACTGTGTCGATGTGACGTAAAAACCCAAAACAAACAAACAAAAAATTATGTCTATGAAATTAGTTGTTTGTATAAGACCCAAATATATTGTTGTGATTAATTTTAACAATTTTGAAAGCCATAATTGTTCGTGTCAGATATTGTTTTGCTCACAATCATAATGTTATATGACATGAGTTTAAATCTGAAGGTATTATGTCCATGAAATATGTTGTTTGTATAAGACCAAAATATATTTTTGAGATTCATTTTTACAATTTTGAAAGCCATTATTGGTCTAGTCTGTTTTTGCATAACACATAACGCTATTGTTAGTATTTATTGTTATTAATAGTGATTTGTCTAAGTGGATGTCGAAGTATGTATGTTATTCCATGCCAGTTCATGTTTGAATGAAACTTTTTGTCCAGATAGAAGATTTCAAACTGTAACTTTTCTGATTTTTAGCTTTTACAACAATATTATATTTCCCATTTTTGGTGCTAAGAAATACTGCAACATGTGCTGAATAATAGCTATTGTCAAACATTGTTTTTATGCTCCCCGAAAAATTTCGGGGGAGCATATAGTCATCGGGTTGTCCGTCCGTCTGTCTGTACGTACATACGAACCCGAATTCGTGTCCAGCCCATAACTTTGTTATTTCAAGTTGGATTTTAAAACTATTTCACAGAAATGATCACCATATTGAGACGACGTGTCGCCCGCAACATTTGGGTCGCTACCTTGAAGGTCAAGGTCACACCATGACCTTGAACAAAAATCATGTCCGGCCCATAACTTCGTTATTTGAAGTCGGATTTTAAAGCTATTTAAAAGTAATTATCACCATATTGAGACGATGTGTCGTGCGCAACATTTGGGTCGTTACCTTGAAGGTCAAGGTCACAGCATGACCTTGAACAAAAATTGTGTCCGGCCCATAACTTGGTTATTTGATGTCGGATTTTACAACTACTTCACAGAAATGATCACCATATTGAGGTGATGTGTCGAACACACCATTTGGGTCAATACCTTGAAGGTCAAGGTCGCAACATGACATTGAAGCAAAATCGTGTCCGGCCCATAAATTCGTTATTTGAAGTCGGATTTTACAACTATTTCACCGAAATGATCACCATATTGAGATGATGTGTCACACGCAACATTTGGGTCATTACCTTGAAGGTCAAGGTCACAGCATGACCTTGAAGCAAAAATGTGTCTGGCCCATAACATCGTTATTTAAAGTGGGATTTTACAACTATTTTGGAATTATCACACTTTGAACTTTGTCTTGGACATAACCCTGAAACTTCAAAAGATATACTTTTCTGTGTCCAAATCCTAGTCGGGGAGGATCACCCCGGTTCAACCGGCTCTTGTTTTAATTGATTATTAAGTAATATGAACAATTCATGATAGCGTCATAACTAAAGACTGGAAATTTATGAAAGTCAAATATGTTAAGAATCAGTTGCTAATAAAATGTGTGTAAAATTTACCTCGTTTTGGGAAATCTTTATTTTACAAATTTATCAAATTTCATTTTATTCTACTGATATGTTTGTAATATTTCTTTTATTTTCTATTGAAAAAATGTGTTAAACCAATATGTATTTGTTTTCTTATAATTCAGCTAGTTTTAATAATTCCAATGTTTGAAAAAATTGTTCGCCAGAACTTTACCAAAATGTTCGCCAAAATATCGCCATAACATATTTGCTGAAACTGGCAAATATGCAAATGAAGTTTGCCGCAGTGTTACCAAAAGCTTCTGGCGAACATCTGCAAACTTACTATGCAAATTAAGTTTGCTGCAAATTTGCCGCAAACTTTTGGCGAACATCTGCAAACTTTTACCATGCAAATGAGGTTTGCAGTAAATTTGCCGCAAACAGAAGCTACCTCCCCCTATAGTTAGCGGCAAATTTGCCGCTAACCTCATTAGTTGCGGCAAATTTGCCGCAAACCTCATTTGCATGGTAAATAATTGCTGAAAGCAGTTTACTGCAAACTCACCGCAATGTTTGCGGCAAACTTGCCGCAATGTTCACCAGAGAGCCCTTTTTTGGTAAGGGTATGCAGAACAACCATAAATGTCAATATTACTGCATTTCACTTTTCTTAGGTACAGTAATGTCCGGCGACTATAATAACATAAAAAAACGCTGTATTAACGTCATTTTAAGCTTGCACTAATTCAGAAATTGTTTAAAATTGTCCGCACCGTCACAACTGCACGAGGTAATTTTAACCTCGACACCGCTTCTGCAGAAAAACTATTAAAAAGTCAATATTACTGCCTTTTACAACTTTTGTTAGGAATAATAATGTCCAGCAACAATTATAATACCATTATAACGCAAAACCGCTGTATCAACGTCTTTGTAAACTTGTAATTACTAAGAAAATGTTGAAAATTTTTCTCCCGGTTTTTTTGCACACCTTCACTTTAGGTCAGACACCACTAACATATGTCATTTGGAGATCCAACAGTATATATGAGCCGTGTCATGACAAAACCAACATAATGCGTTTGCGACCAGCATGGATCCAGACCAGCCTGCGCAGTCTGATCAGGACCCATGCTGTTCGCTTACTAACTCTATTACAAGAAGAGAAACTGATTGCGAACATCATGGATCTTGATCAGACTGCGCGGATGCGCAGGCTGGTCTTGATCCATGCTGGTCGCAAACGCATTATGTTGGTTTTGTCATGACACGGCTCATATCAGTAAAACAAATTTTAACTGTTTTTTGTAAGAAATCAGCTAGTTTAGGAATGACAGTCTCAAGTGTCCTTTTTGTGTTTGTTCCACGTGGTTGGCCTTCACTGTTTTTCATCGTGAATGTACAATGTAGTCCATCTTCACCATCACGTATAAAGATTTTCCTTAGATGCTCCAGGATTAACCCTGAAGACGCGATATTTTCAGCTGTAGGAAGTTTACAAACACTACTTGCAATAAGACATGACAATGACGGTAAATTCTTTGCCTTTTCCTTCGATGACAGACATTGGTGATACACTGCATTTAGAGAAAAAGTGAACTTTATCATATCATTTACTAAGGCACAACAATGTTGGAACAATTTCACTAAGGCGCGCACATCTTCAAGAGCGTCATGGGCATTATACTGTATACCGAGAATGTCCTGTACAAGATCTCCCTGCTTGTAACTACTTCTGTCAGAATAGGTCTTACGAAACAATGGTTATGTATCCAAACAACCTACAACACTTGCTAAAAATTCTTCCAACTTATTCACATTAGAAACTGCAGCAACAAGAACTGAAAAATCAAACCTCCGCCCGTTGTGTGCCACCAACACTACTCTGTTATACTTTTTAGCCACTTTATGAAATTTCAACAGCACATTGAATGTTTACAGTTTCTACTATAGTTCCGGAAACATACATAACATTATTATCTGCCATTCTAATACCAGTGGTCTGCTGTGCTCCTTCTGATAAAGGTAGCTTCGGTGTAACATAAGTTGAAAACTCACTACCACTATTTACTTCTCGGTCAAATGAGGCATTTTCCCACTTCGTACTGAAATAAACAAAAAAGCAATTTATATAAAACACATCAGATATGAGCCGCATAATATCGACAATCATTCCCAAACGAAATATAAACGTGTAACTGTCAGTAATAGAAGGGGAATTTGATAAAGGCTTACAGACATTTCACCCCCCAGACACTTCACCCTAGGCCCTTTTTTGCAGACACTTCATCCCTCAGACAGGTCACCCCTCATTTTAAGAAATTTGATTGAGACACTTCACCCCCCATTTTTTTATTTTGTATTAAAACAACTATTTATACAGAAAAAGTTAAATACATTCAATAGTGATTGAGTATATATGTTTATTGTTTTAACATATTTTATTATTATTTTATCATGTAATTGACCAAAGACAATGGATATAATATATATTGTTGTTTTTGCTCTAAAAAAAGGCTCACATCACAAAGTTATTAGTAAGTAAGTTTTTTATTTTTTATTTTATCTTTATATATTTTATACTAATTTCAATTTAAGTGAAAGTGATATAACTAATTGTAGCATATTCCTTCTATTGAAGTGTACGTGTGAATCTTTTTGTGATTTTTCCTTTGATATATATATTAAACACAAACTGAATACAAACTGAACTGGCAACACATACTGTACATACAGTAGCATGTGATACCTTTAAGTTTACTTAATAATTTGTTAGCAACATTTTTAGTATATAACTAAGGAAATACAAATTGTTCTTTTTTATTTATTACATTTTTTACATTAATGGATAAATAAATAATTCATTCATTCATTTATATTCATTTACATTCATATTATTTATTTAGTTATTTAGTTATTTTCAAAAAATATTATTTATTCATTCATTTTTTTTTCATATAATATTATTTATTTATTTATTTTACATACACTATTATTTATTTATTCATTTATTTCATTTTCATACAATTATACCTTTTTAATCTCATCGATTATGAGATAACTGTTGAATAAACAACCGATCAACAAGTTGAATAAACAAGGTGACATGCAATAAACACTTATAATGGATGTGCTTTGTATAACAGTGGGCAATACGATGATCATGAATTAAGGTCAAGGACTGAGGAGTTCTTAGAGAAAGTGGGTGAATTTATGGACATTTATAAGAATGTGGTTTTTAGAACCAGTAAAATGTTATGTTTTATTGCATGTTATATGTAAATGATTAAAAGATATTATTACATGTGTAATAACATGTGTTATTTGTTTCTGAATTATTTACTAAACAAATATTTACTCTTAGAAATGTCTGTAAATTGTCCTTTGATTAAAAAATCATGAATAAAATTATACCAAAAATAATTAAGATAAACACATGATATAAAAGCAATTTTATGGCTTATTTTAGAAAAAAATGGATGAGGGGTGAAGTGTCTTACTGATTTTGGGGTATGAAGTGTCTTGAGGGGTGAAGTGTCTTCAAAATTTGAGGGGTTAAGTGTCTGGAGGGTGAAGTGTCTTGCTACCTTGATAAATACCAGGGAGGGTTAAGAAAATTGTATATGAATTTAGTTTTATTACCCGTAGTTGTGATGATAACTTAATATTAAGGGTTGAGGTCAATCATACGGTGGCACAAAGGTGGTTTTTTTTCGGCCGCAGGCCGTATGTTTTGGGTTGAACTTCCTGTAAAATTTACAGGGAAGAGCTTAATATTTGTAAAAATTTCATTGGTCATTAAAGATTTACAATCTGAAATCTCGAGATCTGATTGGCCATTGTAAAAGTGTTAAAGAAACAGAAAGGATTTTTCTGACATGGTATACGCGTCTACTTCTAAATTGATCTAAAGGATTTCTGGAAACAAACGACAAGGTATCATACAATTATAAGCTCTTTCACTATCAAGCTAAATTTAACATACTTTAGTTTTGTTTAACCATGTCTTCTTCTTCAATTTTACCATGCATCTTAGTACAGATTTTTTTCGCTGCTTTAATGAGTTACAAAAATGAACGAAACCACCACTTAACATGCAAACAGAACGTTTCGTCCCAAAACCAAATGGGTCCAAGTGCAAAAAACGTTTTAGTTCGGCCGAGTATCTTTTTTTAAAGATACTTCTTGATTTATCTCGTGCGCACGAGATACTATGTCGTGGCCACCAAATACTAAGTCGTGCGTACGAGATGATTAAGTGGTACTCACGAGATACTATGCCGTGGTCACGCGTTACCAAGCCGTGCGTACGAGATAATTAAGTGGTGCGCACGTGATACTATGATAAACATGTTAATACTATAAAGTATCTGACATAGCACCAAACCATGAAAGAATTATATGTATGGTTGTGTTGCAAGTATAAGATACATGCACATGATCCGATATTACATGGATTTATATAGCAGATAATAAAATGTATTTTGAACAAAATATTATTATTTATCATTTGACTGTTCATACTAAATCACATAGAACATTATCAACATTTTTTTCATTAAGAATATCCAAATGATCTATATATCTATTATTTTTATCAATATTTGAGCCGTGCAATGACAAAACCAAGATAATGCGTTTGCAACCAGCATGGATCCAGACCAGCCTGCGCATCCGCGCAGTCTGATCAGGATCCATGCTGTTCGCTGTCAGTTTCTCTACTTGACATATATTTCAGCTTGATTTTAACTACAAAGGTGGACCGAAGAATAAAACACCATGGATAGAATATAATGGTATAACAATGGGAGACTCTCAGTTAATAATTGAGTACTTTAACAAGGAATTCAACTTTGATATGAACAGTCATCTTAGCAAACAAGAACGGGCTGTTGCATGGGCGATACAGAAATGGTTGGAAGAA